CTCCTCCTCCTCCTCCTCCTCCTCCTCCTCCGGTTCCTCATCCATCCTCCCCATCTTGGTGTGTGTGTGACGTTTCACCCAGCTTTTCATTCCACTGCATAAATACTCCCCCGCATCAATGATCAGGACAACTCGTCTGGGCATCGTGCTTGGATGGGCCGGCGGGGTTACTTTTTTGATTGGCGGCTCCAAGGACGACTCCAGAGAGCGGGACGGTCTCGGCTGGGGCACAGGGCGAGATAATTAGCGGCGACGGCGCATAGGCCGCAGCAGCGGGTGCACGTGCCAGGGAAAAAATGCCCCCCATTAAGACGCATGCGACCCGGAAGCGGGGACGCAGGCATCAAAAGGAAACTGTCGGAAGAGGAGTCGCACAAGTGGCGCCAGCTCTGACTGTACCGAACAGCGTGCATGGGCGTGGATCACGCCGCGCTGTGTCGGCACGGAGGGGCCGGTGAGGCCGCACCGTCCAACACGACGAGGAGGCGAAGGAACGGGGAAAGGCGGCGGGCGCGAGGGCACGCGAGAACAGGAGAGAGGGGGAACCGAAGGAGGCTTCACTCACATGGACTCATGGGAAGCACTCGGGCGTGAGCGACCGAACTATGCAAAGAAACGGCGGCCCAGTCATCTGAGTGCACGACCTGCAACTTCCCTGACTCTGAAAGCCGGCGGGATACAGCTGCATGCACTGGTCGGGTACCCCCCACCCTGCGGGAGGGCCGAGATGAACTGCCAAAGGATATACCACTTGCGCAGTAGCAAGAACTCGAAGGCGGCGCCCGCCGTGGGAAGCGAGTCAACAAAGTCGTCGGCGCACAACGCGGGCAGCTTATCCGTCACGGGGGACGGGGGCACAAAGTTGCGAGCGCCAACCGAGGAAACAGGGGCGGACCTGCTGGGGGGACAACGGCGACCTGCCAAAGGATGAACCACTTGCCAGGACAGCGCTCACCTCAGGTTCGGCCCCAGGTGGTGCCGGAGCGGGGAGGCGCGCAGGACTGCACCTTGCCGTAGCCCAGCACCTGGAGCGCCGCGAACCAATCCAAGTCCGCGCAGGCGACCCGCGCCCGGTCCAGGGGCTGGAGGAGCCCGTGCCTGCGGGGACGGACTGCCTCTGATCCTGGCTGCCCAGAGCATCCTTGGCAGCCGTAGCTGACCGCATGCACCTCGGAGCCCTGCCAGTGAGCCTCCAGGTGCCCATGGAAGTCCGAGTGCTCCGGCGCAACGGGTTGGTAGGGGGGAATTCGAGCGGCACTGCGCGCCGCATCAGCACAGGAAGAGGAGGAGGAGGAGGGGAGACGCAGCCGAGAGCCGCACAAACCGGATAATAGAAGGAGGACGAGGAAGAGGCAACACCAATGCCGATGCTGTGCGGTCGGAGTGGCGCCTGTGATCCCTCCACCGCTCCCTGCGGAGGGTCTTCAATGACCGCGGGGGGGACGACACGCCAGACCACGGATGGGGGACTGCGCCGTGCGGCAGCCCTGTCTTCAGAGGACCATGGGGGGTTCTTTGTAGCCTCCTTGCCTTCGCCGGCCCATGGGGGTGAGCATCCGCTTCCGATGGGCGCGTCGGCAGTGCGTACTCTGGCGTCGCGCTGCGTGAGTCTGCGCTGCTTTTCCATGACGCTTGGCCAGTCGACGTGGAGTTGGTATTCTCTGTCCACCCTGTAGGCGTCGTATCCCATTTTGCTCCATGCCTGGAGAAATTCGTCGCACTGCTGTACCGTGTTTCGCCTGGGGTCGGACTTGATGTTGACCCAGGCGCCCCCTTGACTATAGGCTGCCTTTCTGACCCAGGCGCTCCAGGCCGCATTAAACGCGCCTCCCAGCGTCTTCTGTATTCGTGTGATCTGATCTGGTGCCAGCTCGTCCCTGGTGACGTCTGCATCGTCAATGGGTCTCAAGTACATGGGGAGGCCTCCCATGGGGTCGTCAGGGCGCGCTGGTGGGATTGCTGCAGTCCGTGCGTCGCGCCACCAGCTCTGGGCGTTGTGCCACGGCCTGGGAGCGCTGCGGGGCGGTGTGGCTGAGCGTTCTCTGGTGCTGCCTTCGCCGACTATGAGTGATCGGCGGCCAGCTTCGTTCCCCGATTGCCTGAGTGTCCTGCCGTCACTGACTGCGTCAAAGCTCCAGGTCCGCTCCTCTCTGGGGCGGGCTTCGACTCTCTTCCATGCGTCACTGGATGCTCCTCGGTCAGTAGCCTGTGCAAGCGGGGACCAGGCTTTCGAGTCGGCGGTCCAGAGTGGGGGGGGACTTTGGGCCGACTTCCGGTCAGTGGGTGCTGGACCGCCGGCATCGTCCTCCTGATGTGTAGGGCTGGCCTGCGACTCGGGGTCAGCCGAGGTATCTGGCGGGCTGCCGTGTGCCTGGACGTCCAGCTCGGATTTCTTGCCGGCATCGTCGTCCCAGTCAATCCCTTGCACGTCGCCGTCGCCATTCCAGTGCTCTGATGAAGACAGCATCTCATCTGGGGCCCCATCGGGCTGGCCAGGTGCCTCGGGTTGTTGGGGTGTACCGTTTGCGCGGGTCGGGGGGGCGTCGTGATCCCCAACGTGTTGGTCGGTTGGGGGTGCTGCCTTACCCTGGGGCCTGTTGAGCCAGCTGGCAGCAGGAGACTCTTCTTCTGCCCTGCCTCTGGTCGTCGCATCCTGGGGCTGGGCGGCGAGGAGTTCCATCGTTCCTCTGGTTAGGTAGTTCTCCAGCCTTGTGAGGAACAGCGTGAGGACATGCAACGGCTGTCGGTAGGGGCCCTGCCCTTCCTGATTATCGAGGTCGCTTGCGTAGCGCTCCCAGATCTCCTGGTACTTTGGGTTGCTCTCCACCAGGTGTGAGACTACCCTGGCAACCGCAGCTCTCTGTCCGTCCCATGGGATGCATGGGGGATGGCCGCTGCTTGGGATTACTTCTCCGTAGATTGAAGCAAGGAAGGGCAACAGTTGCTCGAAGGGCCATCTCGTTTCGTCGATTACATCGCCCTCGATGTCCTCCCCTTGTTGCTGCGCGAAGGCGGCCCAGAGGGTGTAGGCTGTGTGGCTCCATTCGATCAGGTATTTCACCAGGGCACGAACAGGGCCTCTCGACTCACCCCCTTCCAGACGGTGGGGTTACGCGAAGCGTCTAAAAAATCCGTCTTGGTGGGCGGGTTCCCGTCGGAGGAATGGGAGCGGTCCTCCTCCTCCTGCTCCTGTTCCTCATCCTGCTCCTCCTCCTCCTGCTCCTCATCCTCCTCCTCCTCCTCCTCCTCCTCCTCCTCCTCCTCCTCCCCCTCCTCATCCTCCTCCTCCTGCTGCTGGCCCGTGATCTCGATGATCGGCTCCACCGCCTCCTTCAGGTCCGTCTGGGCGAAGCCGAGGGCGGCGGTGACGCCATGGTCGGTGGGGCCGTCGTGACGCTGCGATTGTCGAAACTATCCGCGTGGGCGTACATGTCCGCGGAAACGAGAAACCCGGATGCGGTGGTCCGCCTCATGGTCGAACTCGTGGCTGAAATCGCCGGCGGCGGCGCTCTCCTGCTGCTTGGCACGCAGCTCTGTCCGGGATATGCTGTCCGCGTCGGCGACGGCCGGCATCTCAGAGGCATGGGAAGGCGAGGGTGGATCCAAACCTCTCGCCCGCTCCCCCCCTCCGTCAGGAGGGGCAGCGGCCATGGCGAAAGACGTAGATTCTAAAGCCCTCCTCTCCTGCGCCTTCCTCCTCGGGTCGCGCAACTGGCAGTCGTTCTCTGCTTCGAGGCTATTGCGTAGGTGCTGGCGTGGGCGATGGTGTCGGCGCTGGTGTCCTGGTGTATGATGGGGCCTGATCTTGGGGCCTGGCGCCTCGCTTCCTCCTCAAATTCCTGCACCTCCGTCGCGTCCACCTCCACCTCCACGTCGTCAACAATCTCCTTCGTCTCATTCGCCCTCTCGCTGTAGGAGCTGGCGTAGGCGCTGGTTGGTGTAGGTGCAGGCGAAGGCGGCGTCGGTGCGGGCGCCAGCGCTGGGGTCCAAGAGGGCGGTGGTGTTGGCGCAAACGTAGGCGTTGGCGCTGGCGTCACCGTGCAGCGGCTGCCTGTGCGGCCGATGGCGGCGTCCTGCGGCGGCAGCCTCTGTGGCCGATACGGCCGCCTCCGCGGGGGTCTCTTCGGTGGAGTAGGCCACGGTCGCGCCTGGGTGGGGTTGTATGCGGTGACCCCAAAGCATGTCCCACATGACGAGACAATCCGACAAGGTGCTCTATGCCGTTCGCGTGCCGTGGCTAATCTCAGCGCGCTGCCTGGTCGTGGCCTCCTGACTGCACCCAGGGTTGCCCAGGATGCTGGAGCTCCTGGGCACAAGGGTTCTCGGGCAGCGCGCTGGGCCGCAACGGCCATACCAGCGAGCACGAATGTCCCCGCCTTCGGATCCAACTGGAACTCGGCGTTGGGGCTGGCGTTGACGCGGTCAACGGTGCTGACGTCGACGGTGCCCCAGTCATTCGTTCCAAGGAAGATGGCGAGATCCATAGCAGCTGTCCGCTGGTGCTCCTGTACAGCGCAGGCCCGACGGCACATCGACGCATGCTCTGGATCGCGAGGCTCGTGTCCACGTGGTGGGCCTCTGCGGCAACCACGGTCAACTCTCGACGGGGTGTCGGCCTCCCCCCTCCTCCTCCTCCTCCTCCTCCTCCTCCTCCTCCTCCTCCTCCTCCTCCTCCTCCCCCTCCTCCTCCTCCACCTCCTCCTCCTCCTCCTCCTCCTCCTCAGGGGACGGGAGCGGACGCGGGAGGCCCCGCGCCCCAGGCGCGGCATGCCGCGGCCGCCGGGCGCCTGCCTGTGCCGCGTGGGCACCGCAGGGCACCCGCCGTCGCGCGGCGGAGCGCCACGCGCGCTGCCGCCGCAGGGGGGGCCGTGCGGGCCCGCTCCCCAGGCGCGGGGGGACGTCCCAGCACGTGGCGAGTTGAACCAAAGCGTCTACGGACTCATCCCCCTCCTCCTCCTCCTCCTCCTCCTCCTCCTCCTCCTCCTCCTCCTCCTCCTCATCTGTGCCTCCCCCCTCTTCCTGCCTCCTCCTGCTGCTCCTCCACCCTCTGCCCTGCGGCCGGCGTCCTTCCCCGTCTGCGCCATGGCGTTGACCACCATCTCCACGTCCTCCAGGGTGTAGCCCGCCATGAACTGCAGCGTGAGGAGCTCATCCTCCACCTAGCCCCCGCCCAGCCTATTCGCGAATCCCCCCATTGATCCGCGTGTTTCAACACTAAACACAGGGAAAGGAGGAAATGGGGAAAGAAGAAAAAGGAAAAGGAGGACACGGAGGAGCATAACGAGGAGGAGGAGAAGGAAAAGCAGGATGGGGGAAATGGAAGAAAAAATGGTGAGGCGAAAGAGGAGTATGAGGACTCTCGCCCTGGGCCAGCCCTCCACCTTCTCCCCGAGCTTCCTCCTCCTCCTCCTCCTCCTCCTCCTCCTCCTCCTGCTCCTCCTCCCCCTCCTCAACCTGCTCCTCCGCCCCATCCTACTCCTGTTACTGCAACCACAACTGCAATTGCTGCTGCTACTACGAGTACTACGACTACTACTCCTACTACTCCTACTACTCCTACTACTCCTACTACTCCTACTACTCCTACTACTCCTACTACTCCTACTACGACTACTACTCCTACGACTACGACGACGACGACGACGACGACGACGACGACGACGACGACGACGACGACGACGACGACGACTACTACTACTACTACTACTACTAACTACTAACTACTAACTACTACTACTAACTACTACTAACTACTAACTACTAACTACTAACTACTACTACTACTACTACTACTACTACTACTACTACTACTACTACTACTACTGCTACTACTACTACTACTACTACTACTACTACTACTACTCCTACTACTACGGGCACTGGGCTGGCGTTGTCGGCGCCTGGGCGGGGGGCGGCCCGGCAGCCCGGCGGGACGAGCGCTCGGCACCCCGACGGGCCCCGCCCCCACCGCTTTCGCCACGGGGTCGTCGTGCTCGGCACCGAGGTGCGGGGCGGGGTCCAGGTGCTGCCGATAGTCGCGGTTCCAGTCCGCGTAGGGCCGCGTGGTGACCATCTTCTCCTGCAGAGCCGGGGCGGGCGTCGAGGCTGCTGGGCGGAGGCGAACGGCCAGGCGGCTCTTGGAGAGGGCTGCTAGACGAAGAAAAAACGCCATAAACACAAACTGTTGTCGCTTCGCGCAGACTTGGATCTGCGCTGGACCCCCCTCTCTGGCGCGCAGAGCGCGCCAGGGGCGGCGCCGGAGACGCCGCCGGGGGCCCAGCGCGAATCCCAGAAATCCGCGCGGAGCACCAAAAGTTTGTTTATGGCGTTTTTCTTCTTCGATACAGGACGACCCACTAGACCCCCAAGACGCCCTTCAGGGCCCCAGGAGGGCCCAGAGACGCCCTGGAGAGGCCCCCCAAAAAAGGACACTGAAGGCGCCAGAGGGCCCAAGAGCTTCCTAAGATGGCCCACGAGTCCCCCACGAGGCCCCGAGGGGCGCCCCCCAATCCGCGCTGAGCGCGAAAAGTGTATGTTTGTGCCGTTGTTTCGTCTTCTAGCTGTGAAGCAGCGGCGGCTGCAGCGGAGGCAGCGGCGGAGGCAGCGGCAGCGGAGGCAGCGGCAGCGGAGGCAGCGGGCAGCGGGCAGCCCCTGCCGAGGAGGGCGGAGGAGGAGGGACTGGGGCCCGCCGCCGTTGCAGCCAGGCGCATGCGTCGCCCGCGGCGCAGGTCAGTACTTGGTTGGCCCAAAAGGAGTGCAGCTGAAAGAGGGTGGTGCAATAGATTTGGGGCAATGGTATTGCAAATTTATTGTGCCAGAGACTTGTATTGCATTGTATAGGAGGAGCACACGGCGCAGAGGACCCCAGGAGCTCCAAAGTGGAGCGAAGAGCTGGGGGCACCCTGGGCCAGGGGCACCTCTGGCACCCCCCCCCCTCGAGAGACGAGCGGGGGCTGGAGCGGGTTTTGCGCGAGAAGGGATCCCGAATCAAAGGAGAGTGGGAATGCCAGCGTGGGACCAACAGCATGGGCATGAACTGACTATTCTCTGTCGCCCTGCGATTAGTTGGAGGTTATGAGTCGAGCCATGTCTAAGCCGCAGAGCAGGGGGGGCCCGAAAGGGAGCATGCCACTCCTTGACAAAAGCCTTCCCCCCGATTTGCGGCCTCGCCGCGGCGACCTCCAAAACCGACCCGAAGGTTTGGCTCGGAGTCGGATCTCACGCAACGAGGAGCGGGAGCCGAAGCGAGGGAGGTGCGAAACCAAACTCCTCTCCAAACGATCGATGGCACGTTTTGCTGCTGGACCGTGCGACGGCGTGGCAGTGGTCAACCGCTGCTTGATCTGGAAGCGGTGTGCTCATGCATAAAACGTCGGACCGCGAAAAGCGCAGTCCGACATGCAGCCTCGGATGGTGTCGAGGGTCTGTGTCTGTTCGGCTTCCACCGGACATGGGCCGATACGAAGAGTATCCTGCAAGTCGTCGGCGCAGCTAGCCAAAGACGTGCCAGAATATCTGGCTTCTGCCTTGCTGCTTGTATATCCTGCGCGCGCGTGGCGGCCCGTCCCCGCAGGGAACATAGGAAGGGGCCCAGGGACACACAAACACATGCACACAAATCCAAAAATATTCCCCACAGCTTCCCATCTCTATTCGAGCGTCGTCTTCCCCACACACACACACACTGCCCATATATATATTTTTTATATATATATATATATATATATATATTATATATATATATATGTCCCCCATCACCTGGGAACCGACGAGCATTTGTGCCTGTGTTTTTTCCCATACCTGAGGAGGAGGAGGAGGAGTAGGAGGGGAGGAGGAGGAGGAGAGAGGAGGAGGAGGAGGAGGAGGAGGAGGAGGAGGAGGAGGAGGAGGAGGAGGAGGAGGAGGAGGCGGAGGGGGGAGGAGGAGGAGGGAGGAGGAGGAGGAGGAGGAGGAGGAGGAGGAGGAGGAGGAGGAGGAGGAGGAGGAGGAGGAGGAGGAGGAGGAGGAGGCGGGGGGAGGAGGAGGAGGAGGAGGAGGGGAGGAGGAGGAGGAGGAGGAGGAGGAGGAGGAGGAGGAGGAGGAGGAGGAGGAGGAGGAGGGAGAGGAGGAGGAGGGAGGAGGAGGAGGGGGAGGGAGGAGGAGGAGGAGGGGGAGGAGGAGGAGGAGGAGGAGGAGGAGGAGGGCAACTTCCGGGCGGTCTGGCTCACGGGTGCCAGAGCTCCGGGGCGCGCGCCGCGAGGCCCCCCCCCCGCTCAGAGCACCTCAAAAGAGCGCCGGGAGGGAGCTCCCCAAGGGAGCCCAGGAGGGTCCAGGGCGGCCCAAGGGCGCCCCAAACCGCCTCAGATTAGGGGGCAAACAAACCTACCTCGCTTTTGACCACCCTCGCTTCCAAGAGATACCAAGCGATGCCAAACTACGGCCTGTACTGGTCAGGCCGCTTGACGAGGAGGCGCGTGATATGACTTGGTTTTGCCTGGAAGCGAAAGCGGGGTAGGTAATTCACGCTCTGAAAGATGGCGGTCTTGAGGCCCAGAGGCCTCCAGACCACCTCCAGAGGATTCCAGGACCACCCCGAAGAGATGCCCCAGAGACAGGGCTCGTGGATGTCCCGTCGGCGTTCTGAAGGACCTCGGCGTTCTCGCTCGTTCGGGCCTCGAAAGCTCCGAAGACTGCGCAAGGGGCTCGGAAGGACGCCCCGAGACAGCCCAAGAGGCCTCTCAAAGAGGGCCCAAGACGGCCCAAGAGGGCCCCAGCACGGCCCAAGATCCGCCCACGATGGGCTGAGAGGGCTCCGAATGGGAGGCGACTGGGGGGGGGGCTGAGCTGGACGGGCCCCGAGGAGAGCCGCCAAGGGAGCAAGATCCGTTCAAAATCGGCCCCTGGACACCTCCCAAAACCCTCTGGCGCAACTGTTCACCCCGGATCCAAGTTCGACGGTCTGGGGGTCCGGCAACAACAACCACAACAACAACAGCAACAACAACAGCAGCAGCAGCAACAGCAACAGCAACAGCAACAACAACAGCAGCAACAACAACAACAACAACAACCACAACAACCACAACAACAACAACCAACAACAACAACAACAACAACAACAACAACAACAACAACAACAACAACAATCATTTTACCCGAACGCTCAGTGTTCTCCCCAGTGCCAGGGTTTTCATGCGACGCCAGCCAATACCCCCACTTCGTGGGGGGGCAATGCAAGCTCTACCAAACATCCACACGACTCTCGGGAACCACCCACACCCAGCTTCCCGCCCTATGACGTCAGGACACTTCACTTCGTGGCGCGCGGACGATCGTGGATACTACACTGGCGTGGAGTACACACCCGCAGAGGTTGATCACTTGTTTGGGCCCCGCATGTGCCCCGCATCGTGCATTTGTTGCGCATGACATACATAGTACAAAGACAGAGAGAGAGAGAGAGAGAGAGAGAGCAAGACAGAGAGCCAGAGGAGAGAGAGATAGAAAGAGATTCGTCACATGTGTGAGGCAACCTGAGAAGATGTGGTACACGGTACACGTGAGATGGTACGCACTGCCAAGATAGTTGGTCACATTTTTGGGGCAATTTCCTGGGAAGGCGATTACACAAGTAGATGTGTTACGCATGATAGATATGAAGCAGAGAAAGAGCGAGAGACAAGAGAAGGAGAGAGAGGAGTCGGTCACATCTTTAGGGCAACTTCCTGAGGGATGTGGGAGGACACAAGAGAGAAGGTATCGTTGTCCCGATGGTTGTCTCGATGGTTGCCCCGATGGTTGTCCTGATGGTTATGGTTGTCCCGATCGTCATCCCGATGCTTGTCCAAATGGTTGTCCCGATGGTTGTCCCGATGGTTGTCCCGATGGCTGTCCCGCTGCGATGCAATGTTGTCTGTTTCTGCTGTTATACAGTCCCAAGGATGACGCATGCATTGCTCATACTTTCTCCTGCTTTCGCAAACAGGTCCAGTCACACGTAGGAATATACACGAAGCATACTAAGGCGACTCGTCGTCTGCGACGTCGCAAAGGCGCTTGGGTACATGGCTGCCTGGCTGATGCAGGCGCGGGCCTGGCTGATACCCGTGCGCTCCCAAATGGCCAATGATATTGCCGATACGCCTGCTGGCGGGAGAGCCGGGGCTTGCATAC